TTTGGCGGGCAAAAATGCGGTAATTTCGTCAACACATCGTTGTCAGAGTTTTGCGTTCATCATATCATGAATGAAGCGAGAAAGCTGTCCGCGAATCGAGGTAGTTTTAGCTTTCTTTGTTGCAGTGTTTCTGTTCTAATAAATTGTAATTGTTGTAATCATTGTTTAGGCGCTTTCAATAGTGTCACATCGTTACCACCCATAAAAAGAGCAGCTAATCCTCTTTTCGTGGGAACGCACAGGTAAGGCTACCCTTGTTCTGACCTGGATGAGCTTACCGATTCATATTATGTTTACCCTTACAGAACCACCAAATTCAACACCGTAGTCCCAGCTAACAAGTACAATAACATGATGAACTCGGAGACTATGCATCCGACAACAAGCAATATCATCTTGCCAACCGAACATAAAACAACAACAAAGGTGGAAGAGAAAGCAGTGTTGAGAGAACTCATCAGTGACAGAGTGCGTGCTTTTTGGTTGACTGCATTATCGTTTACTAAACGGTAAATTTCAGGCTCATATGCTCGGTGCTCGGAATCTAGTAGCGGCAGTGGAGATAAAATCAGGTAGAGCAGTGAAGTCTAATAAGGCAGATAATCAAGCTTCAATGTCGGACTTCATTAAGACTCAGGAGGTATGTTTAGCAAAATGCAGCGAGCAACTATTCTGCAATTTTTGTGGGTTTTCGCTAAAATTGTTTTCTAGGCTCCAGTGGTTAGACCTGCCTTCCATGGGCCACAACTTGGTTTTGGACTGAAAGCAGGGCAAGAAATCAGTCTTACTTCAAGGAAAGCCGATGCAGCAAAGGTATCAGTCACGAATCTGTAGATGTTTGATGATTTCAATTTTGATTTTCGATCTGATGCTATACAAAATTGTGGTTCAGATAAGAGCGGTCGCGGTCTTGAATCGAGAAAAAGCTGGAATGGTAGGCGGTAAGAAGGCTGTAAAGCGCCAAGCAGGTAACTGAAATTTTCTGGACGGGATAATAGCGAACCGAGATGGGGGCGGGGAATGAGTGGCGGATTCTTTGAAATAGGTTGCATGAGTTATGAAACTTGCATGTAGCTTGTGTCCAATTATAAGTAATTTATACGATTTTTGAGGATCGTGTCGGCTCTGCCAGATTTTCTTTTTGGGAAAGCCTGACATTTTGGGGCCTTAGCCCATTTTTGAAACATCCCAAAAGTTTTCTTGTTTTTACTGGCAAGTAATTGATACAATTTTTTGAACTTAAGATCAAATTAGCTCTGTCAA